CGTAGGGAAAAAAATGTTGATGAAGATAATAACCGCCCAGCTGCAATACTGAGATGATGATAACTTGCAAGAGACAAAACAAACAATAGAATAAGAAAACAGCCTGATGAAGAGTTGCTCCCCTAATGATGACCTCCCTGATGACGGCAAGAAATGCCCTAGGATGAAGACAGTCAAGAGACTAATTAATAGGTTAATAAGAGGAAGCAACGCAATAATGAGGAAGACCCACAGCACCCTGATGATATCAACAATCGACATGACGATGGCGAGAAGCGCCGTGAGGAATCATTAAATTCACGACGCCCTAGAAGAGCGCGATGATGACCGCAGCGCACTGCGCAATGAAAAAAAAAATTATATTTTTTTTAATGTGCTATGATCGCACGACAACGTGAAGAAGATGATGATGATCAGCATCGCAGGGAAAAAAATGTTGATGAAGATAATAACCGCCCGACTGCAATATTGAGACGATGATAACCTGGAAGAGACAAAACAAACAATAGAACAAGCAAACAACCTGATGAAGAGTTGCTCCCCTAATGATGACCTCCCTGATGAAGAGCAGCTCCCCTGATGATGACCTCCTTGATGAAGAACAGCTCCCCTAATGATGAGCTTCCTAATGACAAACCGCTGCATCCCAGATGGTGACCTCCCTGTTGATAATGACGGCCAGCGCTGTGATGATGCTAACGAATAGCTCCCTGATGATCTCCCTCCTCACACTCCAATCGTATGATAACCCTCGCATTATGCACTCCATTGTAGTATGACGTCCAACACACTTCAGTCTCCATGGAACAGCCATCTCGTCAAAACGGACATATTATATTTTTTGAACGAAATCAAAACTGACTTTTTTTGCCAAAATCCGGTCGGAATTTTTTGCTCCTGGGGGTCCGGCGCTCCCAAAACGCTGGACCCCATACATGTATCTGGTCTATGGTTGAGACCAGATACAAAAGAAAAAAAAATATATATATATATTTTTGGTATCTGGTCTCAACCATAGACCAGATACATGTAGGGGGTCCGGCGTTTTGGGAACGCCGGACCCCCAGGAGCAAAAAATTCCAATCGGATTTTGGCAAAAAAAGTTACTTTTGATTTCGTTCAAAAAATATAATATGTCCGTTTTGACGAAATGGCTGTTATGGGGTCAACTCCACGTTCCTCCACCGACCGTTGGCTTGCGCCAACTCGCTTGAGCAAATACGTTAGCTATGGAGTACTTCATATGGAGTACTTCATGCGGACGTCAACAGAAGAATGATCAAGCAGCAGCCTTCGCCACCACTCTCCCTTCATCCTGTGACTCAGACCATCTGCCATGTCAGCCCGTGACGTGGCGTGGCCTAGCACCTCTGGTTTCTGCGCGTGCGTCAAGCGCCACCTCCTACCCCCTCACCACATCACCAGCATGCTCGCCCACTCGTGTTTACCCACCAGCTGCCAGCGCCTCGCCCCGTGAAAGCCGCCAGTGCCTCGCCACGTGTGAAAAACCAGCGCCTCGTCCCTCTCAAAAGGCCTGCGCCTCGCCACCTGTCGGCAGCCAGCGCCTCGCCACCAGTCGGCACCCAGCGCCTCACCACTCTTGAGCAACCAGCGCCACACCTCCCAACCGCGACCAGCGCCTTGCCGCCATCGCGCAACCAGCACCTCGCCACCTGTACCAGACCGCTGTCAGCATCAAGCCCCCCGCCCTTCGCTACCTCGTTGATAGAATCCTCCTCCGCACCCACTTCTATGTAGTGATTAATATCAGGTACATGACCCTGTGTGAAGCATTTCTCCGAGAGAGTCTGAATCCGTTGCTTTTCTGTGTCATCGATTTCTGATTCCATCCTTCTCCTTGGTCGGAGGCCTTTTGAAGGAGAACGAAAAGGACACGGTCAATAACCTTCCTTCCTTGAACACGAATTTAATGAGGAATTCCGACAGGACGGGAACAGAGAGAAATTAGGAGTGATCAAGGGAGTGAGTGAGTGAGTGAGTGAGTGAGTGAGTGAGTGAGTGAGTGAGTGAGTGAGTGAGTGAGTGAGTGAGTGATAAAGAATACGCCCTGCATAGTCAATCCCCTGAGACCCAGGGCAATCAATGCTGGCAGGGCCCCAAGAGTTCCCAAAATGATGTCATACAAGAATTGATGTATTCAAGGGACGCTGGACCCATTTTCCAGCACGTGATGCTCCCCACCAATAGATGGAGTGGCCCACCAGGCAAAGCCTCAATTCCGGTGGTTCTCCTACCACCACTGGGATAGAGGCCTTGCACAAGGGCCTTGCCAAAAAAGAAAAAAAAAAAAAAAAAAAAAAAAA